AGCTACACAATCCTTAAGGCTGAACATGAGACACTTGAGAAAATACATGTTCAACATTTAACGCGGAGAAAAACCCAACGATGTAGGAGGCGGGAACAATGAATGGAATGAGTTAATTCGAATTGATCATACAGCATGGCTCGGCCTTGCAGATGTGGTCGATCAGTATAACTTGCTCATACTCGTCTTAAGTTTATTTGTTTCCTGCCTGAATGTGTTCTCCATCATATATTGATGATTGTTACGATGCGATGAGTCAGTGTAAACAATGATGTGACTTCCACGTAAGATCTTATAGGTTAGGCAGTTACATCATGTCAAATGTATAATTTAAGGATTAGGTTTATTATTAGAACAGTATTAACATCATAGTAGACCATGATTCTACAGGTGTACGCAGAATTAGTTGTTGAATTTAAAAACGACAGTAAAGAAGTTAGTCATAATGATCTGAAGGGCTCATAGCCGATAATGCTTGACGGGTTACTCTATGTTGGAGCTCGCATAAGCTACTCAGATTTCCTAAATGAATTGAATCGCTTAATAATTTTGCGCGGCCGACACTTAGTAACGGAAACGTTAATTAGGCGTTATCATAAATAAGAAGGGCCCACAGGAACATCTCAAGTACTGGCCACAATTAACAAATGATATTGGATAGTAGAAGGAACCAGCACGGTTAGGAGAGTGATAGAAAGGTGTGTGACTTGTCGGCGGTTAAGGAAGAATTCAGGACAACAACTGATGGCGCCGCTTCCAGATTGTGGAGTACAACAACGATGGCACAGCTTCTCAGCGGTATGTTTAGATTACTTTGGACCATTTTTAGTCAAAAGAGGGAGGTCATTGGAAAAAAGATATGGATGTGTATTTTCTTGTTTGTAAACACGAGTTGTACATATTGTAACGACTTACGGTTTGAATACTGATTCATTTATAATAGCCCTATTACGTTTTATTGGAAGAAGAGAGAAGCCCGCAGAAGTTTACAGTGACAACGGGTCGAAATTCGTAGGTGCAGTCTCTGAACTAGGGAGATATGTGCTACAGTTGAATCAGCAGAAGATAAGTAATGAATTATCAACGAGGCAGACTAAATGGCATGTGAACCCTCCCTCATCCAGCCACAAGGATGGTATTTGGGAAAGGATGACATTTCGACCCGTGGAAAGTGGACCTTAGGAGTAGTTGACGGCTGTGAAACAGATAGCGACAGAAAGGTTAGGACGGTAAATGTTAGTATGAATAATGGGTTGCTTAGAGGGAATATACGTAAGGTATGTCTCCCTGAAAGTTTGAATCAATTCCTTGTTATATCAATGTAGGTAGGTCCAATAGGCGTAGTGCAGTAAGTCCTACTCGTTCCTCTAGAATGGACAATGCTATAGAATAAACCATGACCAAAGGCATAGAAGTAGCTTTGTGTTGTATGTAGGTATTTTGCAGGCCGGTGTAAGATCCATTTTGAAGGTTGTAACGGAAAGACAACAATGAAAATCCCTCCGCAACCCTTTGGTGGACAGTAGTGTCATTTATTTGTTTCTTCTCCCTGTTGTGTATTTTAACCTTTGTTCAGACCTCGTTTAACCACACCTTTCGTTTATCAGTCTTCCTCGTCTGAACTTTCACCAAGTGATTGTGATTAACGACGTCTTTTGTTACCTGATTTTCCATCGCATGTTGCCGGACTATTGACAATAAGGTCGTGTTTGACTAAGCTCAAGGTCACGGCATGATTCAGTGTGTGACTGTTAACCTTCTGACTGTCTGCTTGGGAGGATTGCTGGAATCCCTCCAGATAAATAATTGATCCCATTTGGTTGGGAATATTTTTATTGATTCTCAGGTATCGAACCCTTTGATATCAACTGTATCTTTTAATATTTAGCGCCCTACTTTGCGTTAGAGAAACTTCTGACTGTATAGCCCAGATTGTACCGTTTGGGGTATTATGTATTTCTGATATAATTTGTTCTATTTCCTAAATTAGAACAGTTTAAATTGAGCACAGAGTTTGTGTTTTGATATAATTTAATATAAGTGTCTCAGAAACGCTTTGTAAGCTATACAGAAGAACGTGGTCTCGCCTATTTGGATACATTTTGGTCCGTCAGTCTTGCGTTCAAACCGAATACTGGCAGTTCAGTCGTTACAAAGGTTCTCTGTGTGAAAATCCCTCCATGTATGCAATCGAAATTTGTTCCTATCGATCACTTCATTTGTACACTTTGTCAGTTCTTTGATTACATTTGCGGTGGTAATATTCGTATTTTGTTATGGTTTTTATTTTTATTACGCCTTCACTGAGTTTCCAGGTTCCTTTCTGAACTGTTGTTTTAGTTGATACTTAGTCTTGACGGCAGCCATATTGATTTCGTTCCTCCTTTGATTGTATTGCTTGCATTGACTGGAATTGTGCACTTTTGATTGTGAATTGAAGCACTCTGCCGGAACTGAAAACACTGTGTTGTAAAGCAACCGAGTGTTATTTTTTGAGCGAATATGTGCGTGATCTATCCAGAAAGAATAGAATAATATTAAATTATTGAGATTGGTAATTTTCTTATTGTCTTTACCAACTTGTTTATTTATTAAAATTAAGATTCCATTGAATGAACAATTATTGGTTGAATAACTGAGTGGTAACATTTGTTTAGGTAATGATGTACATTTATATTTGTAGTGAAATTTAGAACCGTCATTTACCCAATCACCTCGTTTTGGTTTCAAAAGGGCAATATCGCGTACCTAAACTCCCTAGATAGTTATTCTTCAGTCCAAACCATAGTTTGGATTCTACAGTAGTCGTATGTTAAATGTACCATGTCGTGCCAACGCGCTGCTTAAGCTTCAGGCTCACAGAACAAGCGGAGTCGCTGGTGTGCAAGATGATACATACGTACTCGGACAGAGCTTACTAAAAGGAAGTGACGAAAATGCTGAGAAACGTTTATTTGATACAGAATCTCTCAGAGTGTTGCGGAATATCTAATTTCACTCTTGAGTAGCGTAAACTTTGACCCACCACTGTGCATCTTGTGCGATTTTCGACCGACCTGGAAGCAGACATGAAAATGCTGATGGTCTGTTCTGTATATTTTATTCTCCTGATTCTATCAAATTCATCATTAACACAGCCACTAAGATCGATTATTCATTTCTGCAAGTGACGGGTGTGGATCCGCAATCTTTAAGCCAAAGACAAATAAATGGAAGTAGTACGCCTTCGTTAGTGTCAAAAGATTAGCCTTTGGAAACCCTCCGTCTTCGTGCTAAATGTGTAGTCTGAGATAGTGTGAAGACACGTTATTTCTAGTCGGCCATTCGAAACAACATTTTTTGATACTAACACGTGTATAAGTTCAGAATAGTATAAAGGGGATGCATCTTCACCTTGGCCACTAGGAGAAACCGAAAAACAAACATGACATTCTTCGGAGTTTTGGGTGGTCTTCTATCTATAAAAATATAACGGGACTTTTCAAACGTTGTTACTGTATGAAACCACCCCAGCAAACATCCTATGCATCTCCAACCCTAATGGTGACAGTAGGACTACACTATCACGTCTGCACTGATATTGTGAGGCGTCTTACAACAATGAGGAGCACAAGCAGCTGCATACTACTTTAGCATATGATGTTAGGTGGTCATTGACCCACAGCAGATGTCCTGACGGCTACATAAGCTGTCACCGACCATTGGATTTGCCGTCATGAAGCCCCATACTTACTCCATTCTGAATTAAACGCAACATTTGAAAGTCATCTCAGCACTCAAGTATGCCAGTTATTAGGAGTCCAGGAAAAAAAATACTACCGCGTACCACAAGGAAGGTAATGGTCTGATGGAATGAACAAACAGAACTACTAGAGCAATTGTATAATCGTTCAACAGTAAGTCGTCGGCTGAATGTTGGAATAAAGTAATACCCCGATGTTCTCTAGTTTATCTCACATCAGTGCTTCTGTTCTACATTTTGGTCAGGGATTACACCTACCTGCTGACGTACATGTTCTGCTTTTGCTATGTGGAGCTCAGGAATACTCACTACACATAACTAATACTTGTAGCCTTCCTGCTGATGCGTACCGTCTTGTCAAAGGAAACTATGAAGTGAAAGCGAAAACCAGAAAGACGTATACGAACAACAAGCAGTCGGGTCGGTGTATAAACCCGGAGATTATGTTTGACTGGAACACCCTGTGTCTACACAAAGAACATAGAGCAAGTTATACCGATCTTTGTAAAGGTCCTAGGATGATGTAACTATCTGACCCCCTGCTTTGCCTTACGTTACCTTCAGTAAATGTAAGGCTACGTTATAACAGTACACCATAACCAACTGAAACAAAGACAAACGTTGGTACACTAGGTTATCCAGTTATTCAACCTCCACCCGCCACTAAATACCACCAGAAGAAGTTAAGACCCTATCCATGTCTATAACTAGGAACTGAGGACTGTTCCTCGAGGAGAGAGGGGTAGAGTATCATCATTAAAATAATTGCGTGATGTCATCATCGTGAATCCGCGTTTTTGTGCTGTAGAGTAACGACTGCTGAATGTGCCGGAAGAATAACAAACTCTGCTTAAATTGTACTAGAAAAATGATGCAAGAGACCAATTTATAATTAGGCTTTCCTTTGCATAACATAACTGCCTATTTCACTGTCTGAAATATACACGCTGCTGTTCTCACGTCGTGTTCTTTTTCCTCGAGTGCTCACCAATCCTGGTTTGCATGCCGTTTTTTAAGGTCCGTTCTACCTTCAAGTAAGCGTCCATTCCACGTGTTAAGATGTTTTTCACAATATTTTCAATGTTCTCATAAAAACGAGTACAATTACAGAATCTTAACCAAATAATGCTAGTCATATCTCATTCCGGCTGTTTATAACAACTAAAATCTTATATTCTCTAAATTAAACTGGTAGTTTTTGTTCATCCCAATAAGAATTCAAAGTCAACCTTGGGAAGAAGTCGAGGTATGTTTAAAAATGCTTGGAAGCAGAAAGGAAAGGTTCGCCTCTATTTTTAAAAGGTTCGAGTATGTTTTCCACAACTATGTATCAATAGAGTCAAAGGAATGATTGAAAAAGGGGCTCTAGATTATGAAGACCGCCCATTGTGGTACGATGTATACAAAGCATTTCCTCCACGTATTGATCCTTCGTATGATCGACCATGTCCTACTACCACAGTGCAGAATATTATCTACCCAGAAGATTGTGAAAGAGCGTAAGGCCAGTAGCTTTTTTGTGAACTTTCACCAGAGCCTTTTTCAAAGGTCATCACAGGCTCGAAACATTAAACATGTTCAAACTAGTGGACAATCGTTCGACACTGTCTAAGTAAGTGTTTATTTTACTTGACACTGCGTCAGGCTCTTAAAAAAGTGTAGGAATTTGAGAGAGCTTCACCCAGACTTAAATTCGGAAGAAATTCTGTCATTGGCTGAAAAGGAGCTAAAACAAGATGAGACGATAAATAAGCACAAATTCGATAGTACTGAAAGCTAGATTAGTTGTATTGATTAAATTGTATCTATCTTTAAAATAAAGCATACTTTAAATTTTCATTTTATACTTCGAGTTTGCTTGGAACGTCAGATAAACATTTTTATAAAATTAATATTCGTAAAATTAAGATATTTTAACATTGTGGAAATATTAGGGAATTACCCGGAAATTTTTTGCTAGCCTGGTGAATTCGTCGTATAAATGACTTATTCGTTTACCAGTCGTGTTGAGTTAAAAAAAGGTCGAAGTTTCATTGATATCTAAGGTTTATTCTAAATATATCCCTTTACAGTAGTACATTCTAAATTTATGTGTACTAACTCATTGTAAAAGCTAAGATTCAAAGACTACTTAAAGGTAGTTAAGTCATATTAGTATTGCTAGTTCTAGTAGACCATCTTAGTAGTTCGATGGAAAGGAAGAAATTTAAATGCTTACCTACACATACTATTTCATACGTATAATTAGTTTAATATTTCAATACAAAAGGTTCTTTCTGAGGACTTATATCAGTTAATCTTGTTACACTATCCAGATATAGGGGGAAATGATCCTGTATAGTTGACTTTCAACTTTTACAGGCAAACAGTTGTTTAATGAGCCTTAACTTTGTGCGCTATCTCACATTTTTCACACAGGAACAGTAAATAAAATAAGAGGACAATTGTCAAGAAAGATAGACCATTTTCAGTGAACAAATGTCCAAAAGCTACGTAAAGGTGAGAAGAACCACTTTCGGCGTTGTGGTAGATTTTTAGTCATTTCACATACTATCTTTAACCTCTGCTCCACACAGAGTATGTACATAACTACACCCGTTATTCTCAAGATACATGAACAATATTGGACATACACTAACTGAAAACCTGTAGCTACACATTCTCCATTCTCAAAATGGTATCTAACGTAGACTATCATGGGCTACTGTCCATCATACATATTGTTTGATAAACCATTGGGGATTTTATTTGTAACGTTATTTGATAAATCCTCAGTACGATCCTTTTATTTAATTGGGGACTTCTCAGATGGCCGATTTATAAAGTCTAACCGTACCTACCTCCTCAACAGGGTCAATTAGATAATCATTTCCTAATATATGTCTCGATTACTCTAGTATTAGAGGGTCATCTTTCATTTGGCGAATAGGAAACATGTCCCAGTTGTTCTCAAACTTTTGCTTAACCGACTTGAGTAATTCCGCATCTTGTCATTAATCGGCCAGTTAGGGTATTTTTCCTGCTTGTTGTATATCGATTAGTGAGCTAGTAAAAGGATTACCTCATTTTCTTGGCTCATAAGTTTTATTTCTGGGACCAGTGTTGATTTGTCAGTGTCGTGTATCTCAAGGAGCACGAAAGCCCATGTTTTATTTTTTTTCAATTTTCGAACTACAATTTCGGTTGTTCCAACAACATTCTTTGAATGTTAGTACGATGGTGCGATAAAAGCATTTAAAAGGTTCTTAAAATCCTTGGAGTGGATTAAAAACTAGGGCCGGTTTATACTAAAATCAAGGTGTTATCCTATACACCTACCCTAGCTTCACTAGTCTAATAATTCGAACCACATTTTTGTTCATGGATATTACCACTTGACTTTATAAACTTCGATTGCTCATGGGGTAAATTGGTTATTGACCAAATCGCTGTGCTTGACGTGCATTATATATCCAACCCCCACATCAACATTATTAATATCCAAGTATCTCGAAAACGTCCCACGAATTTCGACAAAATGTACGAGCAACTAAAAAATCACCTATTTGAAAAGCGGCCTACATTTAGTCATGAAACGCAAGAAACCCAATCTTTCACCCACTGGGTTATTACAGATTCGTATGTATTATCGGCTTTCTGTTGCTTCATACGTATTGTTTACACTTCTTGGGTAATCTACGACGTTATCAACTCAACTTCGGCTCAGTCTGCGACTAAGGAGAACCAATGTTTAATACTATCGGTCATGAGCAATGTAGAACGTGGCATGTATGTGCTTCGGTCCAAGTTGGCACATAACATAACTACAGTGTAACTAAATTACTTAGATGAATAATAAAGTATTGGTTTCAATAATAGTAGAAAGATTATGTATAGAACATATGATTGGAGAAGGATTTTGAAATTATGTATCTACAGAAAGACAAACAGAGTTCATTTACGTAATTGTGACGGGTTTTGCACCACGTCATTTAACGTCTCCATCCGTCGCTCAAGGTAATCGCCTGGAGGTTCGGTGCTTTTTTTGATATTACGTTTTGATTATTAGGCCACACTTCTTGTATTCCCTACTAAACCATATTCATATAATTGGTTGTCGACGTTCCTAGTAGTGTTATTCGCACGATATGGTCATTTTGGATTTCCTGTTTATTACTGAATAAAAACGATAATATCCTTTCGTTCCTAGGTTTATATAGAAGCTTAATATTTGTTAGGTCTTCACTTCTTGTCAACTTTATGATGCATTGTATAAATCGCAACTTTGTTTCCCACAGAAAATTCGGAATTTATAAAATCTTTGAGATTTTATTGGAGTAGTTATTGCTGTTTTGTGGCAATTGTTGTTAAAACAGTCATTTATATCCTGGTATTTCTTAATAAAAGGGATAACAAAGAGCTGATTACAGAAGTATTATTGTGATTTATTTTACCACTTATCCTGTGGCTGCATTACACTTGAAAAATATGTGAGCACGTTTAAAAAGATGTTTACAATATATCAGTATTTCGTTCTTTCGAAAATTATGTTTCATAGTCATGGACTGAAATAGCATGAACTGTTGCTTCTAAGGGGCAACCTACTAGTTGGTGCTTTTAGCAAGATTTTTTTTACGGGGTGGGGTTGCCGACCCCATGTCTAACCCTCCTCCATTACCCGGGCTCGGGACCGGCAGTAGCTCTAGAAGAGCTACAGGCGGAGTTTTTAAGGGGTAAAAATACACCTTATCCGAGGTGTTGCGCAATTTCCAAAAATGTCAAATAGAAAGTTTGTGTTCATCACGAGGTTTCGTCAGTCACCAATATGACTGGGTTGTGGAAACTAAAAGTTGGGTTGTTTACCGCTCTCAAACACTTCACTATTTCGCAAACTGGACAGTAATGTAACTGCAATATGATGATCACATTCAAAGCATTCCTCAAATATATGTTAGGATGTTCAAGAGACTGCATTTCGTCGAGTTTTTTGGTTAAATAGGGGTATATAGTCTAAGTCGACAAAAGTCTTCAGGCGAAAACCAGGTGAATACAAAGTCATCTCTGGAAATATGCTTATAGAGAATGAAAAAGATGATAATAACAATAACAACTACTTGACGTTTCTAATTCAGATGGAATTTGTACGTAACATGTGGTCCGGTCAATAGTAAAAGCGTCTATGATGTAATGTACTTTCCAGACATTGCCATAAAACCTCTCAATTGGTAGGTCTGAGTGTAATTTATTAGTGAGAAATTTCGTTTACGATCGGGTGTTAATAAATTATATTCACCATAACTTGATAAAATTTAGATGTATGGTCGTTGTATTCACAACAGATCTGGAAGCTTCCTGACTTCTCAGGATTTGGAATCACCGGCCTTGCATTAAACGTAAGGTTATTACAGAACCAAAGGACTATTATTTACACGACAATCACAAAAACCAACTTGATACTCGTTCATCAAAACTTCAATTAATATCGACTAATTTTAGAAGTATTTGATTTATTTTAGCTGCCAAAATTTTTTTATAGTAAACTGTGTGAAATCGCTTTTTCAGGAGTTGATTTTCTTAGGCACTGCATCTGGATATCCGTCACCCCATAGGGGAGCTTCCGGTGTAGTATTACGTGACTTATGTTCTGGTTCACAATGGTTATTTGACTGTGGTGAAGGTGTACAGATACAAGCGCAAAAGTCGTCTTTCGTTCACTTTGGAAAAATCAATTCTATTTTTATTTCACATCTTCATGGGGATCATATGTTTGGTCTTCCTGGACTTTTATGTACAATAGATCAGAAAGGTGAAGCTAATAGTGTCGTATTAGAAGATGTAGACCGACAAAACGATGGCGCCTCCATAAACATTTATGGGCCAAAGGGACTTCGCAGATTCCTTCGACTTGCTCTTGCATTATCAAGGTAAGCTATGGGTGTTACAGCTTGTTCGCTGTTTGGTGATTCGGTCATCTATTCGACACCCAATCAAGCTATTTTGACCTAAATGATTGACTGGTAGAAGCATTAAATTACATGAAATGTCATGCATTAGTACATCCATTTAAGTTGGCATAATTGTAATCGACATAGATAAATAATAAAACAAGAAAATGTACTAACTAATTAGAGAAAAGACAAGAAAAAATAAACCCAATATTGGCCACGATAAAATCTTCAACAGATAAAGAAAGGTTTAAAATGAATGAGTGTGTTCTATTGCAAAATTTTTCTGGCCATGTCTATAATTTTTGAATAAATGGTTCTGATATGCTGTAGCTAAGGGTTGAAAGGTTAAATTCGTCCTATCTACCTGTTTCTAGGGAATTTCCTTCACGATCTGGTTCTATGTTCTGAAACAGTTACTCCAAAGCTTCCTAGAAACTACAAAATGTGTGAAGTAGAATACATTTTCTGGAAGCTCAAGTCAGGAGATTTTCCGATTAGATTTCTACCATTTTTCAGAGCTTAACGTCTAAAATCAAAACTATTTCTTTTGTTTAGCCCAATATGAGTAAAGTTCCAAAGAAATTTGTGTGAAAATACCTGCGATTATGATGTCTCCAAGTCGTACATTAGCTGTGTAATACATAGCTAGAAATCTACTCAGTATACTCGGATCTTCGTAAGAACGCGGATGTGTTATTAACATCTAGTAGCATATGTACTTTCAACTATTGGGTTGAAAATTCGCATCTTGTTTCGATCTGTATAACAGGATAGTATCATTAGCCTTCTTATAGTAGTTGTGGAATTTTACTGGTTTATTAGGTTGCATTTAGTTATTGAATTGTCGTAATTTACTCTTAAATATTGTATATTGCAAAATATTAAATCATAGAGTAGCTTTAATCAATTTACAAAGTATGAATGCCAGTATATATTATGGATACATCTACATTTTCTAATTTACAACAGAGTTGTATATTCTGTTTGGGCCTGATGAATGATATCTTAAACTTTCAATATACTGCGTCATGCTGCTCATTAACATCAAGTTTCAACGCTTAAGCTTCTTGCTCTGTAATATTTTTTTCTTTTCATTTGGTATTCCATTACTCTGTAGTATGTAAGGGAACCATTTACTGTTACCTCTGATACGGTCACTTACATTATATCAATGTCACCATGATAATTAATAAATGTTTGAGGATGCACAAAATTCTGTAACGGACATATGATGAGTGTTTTCTAACGGGGTCTCAAGAGCTTGACGTATTGATTAGCTCGGAAGCAAAACAATAATCCAGTAGAGAAGCTAGAAAGTTTATTGTTCATCTTAAAGCCCAATATGCCTTTAATCTCCATAATAAATCTTCAGCATTGGAAATAAGTGTGAATCCTAAATAACATAACTTCAATATTATGAAATGATTCTGTCCACTTTTTTTAAATATGCGGCATTCCGCTCATCCTTCAGTTTGACTAAGGTATCAGTAGTTCATGATTTAAAACCAAGTCTGAACGGTTGAGCGGACATCAATGCGTTAATCAAAGATTAAAATTCTTCATAAATTCCCTCTGCAGTTCTGGCTTTGTTTTGCCTATTTTAAAGTTACTTTTAAACGGCTATGTGAAAAAAGCCGCACCATTACTTTTCTGTAAACTTTCCTACATTTTTTGCATTCTGGTACTATCTGAATAATGCCAATCGAAATCCTCAACATCCAATACCTGCTATTTATTCAACGTTGCTATTCAGTGAAGCTGTTATTTGATAAGTAGCCTATAAAAAAATTCAGTTGTCCTTGATTATGACAACTTACCAGACATAAGTGATCGCTCGCAATCCTTTGCGTCAATCAAAGTCGGAATATCTTATGACATATTTGTGGAAAATTAACGACCTGGATAAAAATAGATTTCGGTAATCTCTTATTGTATGTTATATATTTTGGATTTCACAAAAGCAATATGGCATGTTGTTATAATCTCTTTCTTCTTACGGTTATGACCCAGCTATTCCTATTGTTTAGTATTCTCGGACACCGATTCACTCGACAGGTCCCAAAATCAGAACACGGTTGAACAGGAAAGAGATTATATTCCAAATAGCAAGTCAGAAGCACAATAGGAAAAACGTCAGTATATTTATAGTTTTTACATGAGAAGATTCTAGAGTATTCTCCAACTATCGACTAGTGCTGATTGGATAAGAATTAGCCAATCAGCGTGCACCAAAGCAATCATGCATTGAACATGCTTTAATCTAGTCTATGTCCCGCTAACACATGTGAATATCAATTTTTCAAAGAATCTAGTCAATCTGGTCACTCCGTTTAATCAAAAGCCTCCTTCAAAACCATGCATACAGTCAGAAGTGTCGGCTCAACAGCGATGCAAACGGAAAACTTATTTACAGCAGAGGCTATCTCTATCCACCAGTTCAAGTTTAACCTTTGCGTACAAAAACGGTATTTTCGGTCTCTCATCCTTCTATAGCCTTCTGTTTTCCATAATCTATCGTTTTTTGTTTTTATTTTGTTATTCTACTCCTTCCCATTTATTTTCATAGCTATTAACAATTATTATGATTTTTAATTATTCTCTTCTTAACCGCTATGTAGTGGATAATTGTCTTCACACTACCAATTCTCACTAGCCAATTGTCACATAACTTTCTTTCGATATCTGATTTTCGTAAGCATTTCATGATAAGATGTCACTCCGGCTTTTTTAGATATTTTGTTTTACTATAAACTACTATTTTAGCAAATAGAATTAACTATAAATACGATTGTACAGCTGAATTGTATTCTTTCTTCAGTGACAGAGTGTGTCTCGTTATTTAATATCAATCTTATTAAACTGTTTTACATTGTGTAAGATTTTACTTAAATACTGTATAATTTGAGATAAAACACCAATAAGATTTAATATTTTCATTTGGTCTAGAGCTAATTTAAGCTACACTTATGCTGTTCATGAGTTGATACTAGAAGAAAAACATTGTCCTCCAAATTGGCAAGACTGGGCATGTTTAGAGGCTGATATAACTCGAGATCCCCCATTATTTTGTGAACGTTCTGGTAGAGACATTTTTGCGAACAGTGATGGTAAGATTTATTGGTGAACGTCAATTATAAATATTTGTCTAAATTCACTTATTTTATTATGTTTAAATTGAAATGCATTGCATTGTAATTGCTTTATAACTGAAAGTGGGATTCATACCTAGGTTTTTTAAATGGTTTGGTTCCTAACTTAGCCATTATTAGGTTGACTCCAATAAGATTGACTTTACAACATCACATATATTCATCATCACTGTTACTTCATACGATTATTGGCGCTCTTTAATAAGCAGCAATGAGTTGAGATGACATATAAGCGTCTGAATCTTACCTTTGGAACCATTTCATTGCTTTCCATAAAAATCTTTCTGATGCTAAACTTAACTGATAATCACCATATGACATAGAGCGAAGAATAATGGTTGTGAGTCCGAAACATGATCCTATAGTTGTATTTCTCTTTTTTCCTAGTTTTACGAGTTAACTTATTGAAATTCTGTTACGATGATGGATGGTGTGCATTACTTAAAGTCCGTTGGTGAATAAATAATGAATTCTCCACTTAATAGTATGTCTCAGTTGGTTAGTCAATATAAGCAACTATGTATCATATGTTTTAGATCAAAATTAAATTGCCATAGGAAAGTCACTGACTGAGTTTAACTGGTCCAGGAAAAAGTCAAAGGCAGGAACAAGAAAGTTTATACCTTTCCAACCAATATCTTACAAATCTAATTCTTTATGTAGCTATCCCCTATAACTTTGTATTAAATTCACGAAAACTTCACTGATATTATTATGGTTCTATGAGAGTTTGTCTAATTAAGTTTTGAAGTATGTTACATGATGCTATGTGTTATCTGTTTTGCAGGATTCTGGTATAATGTTACAAATAATGAAGAGAACTGTGAAATGGTGCATGCAGTGTCTATAAAACATACGATTCCTTCCGTAGGTTGGCTGATAATAAAGCCGGATCATGCACCTTCCTTGTGTGCTGAGACAGCTATAAAATTAGGCGTTCCCAAAGGACGATTAATGGGTGAACTGAAACGAGTATTTTATATGTGTTTTTATTTTCATTAATTCGGTGTTGTGATATCGTATAAATAATTAAATGGACATATCATATCAAAGTTATCAGTGATACTAGTAACGGGTATATGAGTTGACTCGGTAACATTTTTGCTTCTATGCTCTTATCTAAAAAAAACATGGAGCCTTCAATATATACAATTAACTGTCAGCGGTTTATTCATATGTTCATGTGTTACTAAGTTAAGTGTGTTTCTTTGTATCTGATTATCACCGTAAACCCTGACATAAGTTATGCTCTTAATCGTCTGATACCTACTTATTATTTATTTATTTGAACACAAATATTGGTACAAGGAGGCACCGAATACATATGCACCACACAAGTCACTTGATTTGTGCATATGAGCAGCGATACTACCCGGGTGCCCAGACTGTATCAGGTGATTTTCTCAGGGGTCACACTCGGAGCCTTCGACCTATAGGTCTGATCCACAAGGAAGTGGAGCAACGTCGGGAGATGCAGTCCAATGGTAGCCGGTGACCAACGATTGATTCTTACGCCATTTGTTCCCTCAGGCTACTGGAGCTCATGTTTACCATTGACCTGGAATCAGAGTTTCCCAACTCCCCTAGGTGGATCCCCCTCATCCACCAACCCGGTCAAAGCGTCGGACATTCGCTTTTCGTAAACAACCAGCCCGCCGCGGGAAGGCAGTAAGTAGGACTTCCCTGGCAATGGCTGTATACGTGTGAGAGTGTTACGAGAAGAGAGGACTCTCCGCCGTACCAGGGCATTTGGAGGCTTTGTTGTGAGTTGTGTATGATACATATAATTGAATTAAGTGAGCAATATTACATTCTTGTTTATCGTATTTCATATTCATCAGCTTATCTAGTGTATTATTGGAACAGACTCACTCTAAAGTTAGTTATGTTAATACCTTTGTTAAGTATGCATAGATTAAATGATTATATTTTATCATATATCACTTCCTTCATCGTACAGATAATCTTTTTACCACTTTAAATCAGGTTACCAAGTTCAAGTAATCGTTCCAGGACACCGTTTTTAATTTTATTAATATTTTCATCTGCTTACAGACTACCGTGACTGAACACTTTACTGCAATATTGCTTACCGACTACTTTTATTTACACTTTTTGACTTTCGTTTTGTTGATTTATTCTTACCATGTTACTGTAATGTAAAACAAATTGAACCAACTAACATTTCTGTCAGTTCTTACTTTGTTTATGATTAACCGACATTGATAATTTCTATTTTTCATCAGTTCTATTTTGTTGTTTTCAGATGATCATGAATTGAATATATCTAAGTATCTTAAAACACCTAATTGACAAACAGGTATAAGGAACAATAATATAAAAAATGTAAAGTTTTAGATGATCAAGATAAATCACTAGGATTGACACGAAACAATCTAACTGACAAATATCAGCATATCGTCAGTCAAATAATCAAACTGAATGATAAATAATTGAAGAGTAATCATAATATTTCAGGAATTCACTTGCGTTCATCCCCTCCTTATTATAGATACTTTTTGTCTTTGTCTAGTTAGAAAAAAAATGAAAGAGAAATCATAGACTGTCATACTCTTTGACTATACACTACAATTAACATTAAAACTAATTTCTATAGTTTCATCCATGGTATCCTAATCCTGGATAATAATAATAGAGCATAGATTATTTATCCAATCATATTGTTATGATGTTTGATAATAACAAAATTCAATCTAAATAATGGTGTATTTCGATTTCAATAAAATTGATTTATTGTATAACGTCAATATTTCACAGAAATTTTCTAGGTTTGTCAATAAAAATATAAGTTATGCTAACATTACTGCTCATAATTCAATTAGTTTTATTTAAATTAATTAATTTTTATTATTCATAGTTTATAATGACATAGATAGTTGATTAGTGAATTTTAGCTGATGTATTTTGAATTACAATTATATATCCGAATTAGATTTTCTTTTATAATAACCAGGCATATCACATGTATATATTTATAATCTTATTTTTAGTTAGTGATATTTTAATAGTTGACCAATTCGATAGTCATAATCATTTATCTAAATTGTTTGTTTTTAGTACAACATTTATATGTGAATGTTTTTATCTTATGTTGTTTTATGGTTAGCGTTTCCAACGACTTTTCATATATTCACTTGTCTCTTGGTTTTTTTAATGTAAAACATCATAATTTAGAATTAACTTAGATTATTAACACTAAAATCGATTGTTTTTCTCAAGATAGGATATAAGTTTTGATTCTGATATCATTTGTTAATCGATATCACAAAACAATTTCAATGCTTTTTTTCTTCTCCCAAGGGTAAGACAGTTGTCATTGATGGTAAAACAGTTCGACCTGAAGATGTGTTGAAACCGCGTTTAAGAGGTCATCGTATCGCAATTATGGGGGATACGTATGATTCTTCTGAACTTTTACGTCTTATGCAGGTTTTGCATACTGCAAATCAAATTACTTCTATAACTTTGGATACCCTTGTACATGAAGCTACTTTAGACGACAGTTTATATGAGGATGCATTGAGTAAAGGTCATTCTGTACCAAGAGTTGTAATGAAATTAGCCTGTCAACTCAATGTTCGTCAGTTAGTTTTAACACATTTCAGTCATAGATATGATCGAATAGATTCTCCAGATGAAAACACTATAAAAAGTAAATTCACCTTGATATTGTTATAAAAATATAGTTTTACCCAACAAAATATGTTGTAAATTAATGTATTCATGATTACTGCTATTATTTTTTGTCAAAAACAAACTGAAATGTTGATAGAAACTCACTTTAGCAGAATCTCAATAATGCTATAATTAAGAATTGATCATAAGACTACTCAGCTCATTTATTTATCAAAAGCAACCACAGATTCAGTATTGAAGTTAACAGGTTTTAAACTTCTGAAGAATGTCATTAGAATGTAGATTAATTAGTAAATTTAGTTATTGATGAGATAAATTATAAGTTACAGTAGTTTATCGCACTAATATATACATACAGATAATAATTTTAGAACTTAGATAAAAGTTATCACCGGATTTAAAATATATCCTCTCAAATCCCGATGTATTGATCTGTAGGTAACACGTTCGCTGCGAGGGCTGCAGATTGTTGGTTATTACTAATGAAGATTTCCATAGTGTGCCAAAACAAATGTCCGGTGTTCCAATGATTCTCCTGTAGGTGTCAGTCTGGGAAGAAAACCACCAAATATAATACTCCTTTCGTTTTAAGGCATATTTGTTTGTGTAAACAACAAGTCGTATTTTATGCTTCGTTATCACTCATTAATTTGGTACTAATAACGCCAAAGAAAACTGATGTATATTCAAGGAGACGCAATTTTTGGTTCTTTAAAATCTAAGCTGAAAACATTGCCCTAAGAAAAATGGCAAAATTAAATGTTAATGAAATTGCAAGGTAGTTAGAATTGTTCATCACGACTCATAGTCCATAGAACATCGGTGAAGTCTCTTATTCACCTCAAGGCTTTATCTCTTCAGTACTCATCCAATGAATCTAAAAGTTAATTTTTTGTGATCTACATTATATATATCGATGCGATACTATTACGCCCGATGTTATAAATAATGTTTATTTCTTAGTAAACCCTTTGGATTTAAGCTTCTACAAGTTGAGTTGACAGATATCATATTGTACTGTTCAAAATAAATTTAAACATATAACCAAATTGTCAGGAAAACTGATTGCACCGTATTGTTATTGCTTTGGCTTTTTCATTACATCAATATATAATTGGTTAATATTATTCATTTATCATTACTTTGAAAAATCACACGAACTGTACTTTCTTACAGGTGAAATTGGTGAACAGGTGAATCATTCAAAGAAATCTAAAAATGATAAGAAAAACAAACCTAGTTTACAAATTATCTTAGATCAAGCCAAATCTACAGATTTCGGTGGAGATATCATTTTGGCTGATGATCAACTTTTAGTGAAAATCCCCCCTGTAACACAATAACAATATTAGTATGTAAAGATTGTTTTTCTGTTTCGTGAATTCAAATTACTACTGAGGAATATATACAGTTGTTTTTAACCGAACTAATTTTTTCTAAATATCACTTAAGTATCTGTGGATAAGATTTACTTCTGATCTCCAATAAAAGATCGATCTGAGCCCTTTACAATCATTTAAAGTCACCCATATCCCATCTCACTGGTATATAAGTAAATTTAGCTGATAGTTCTTCAACAAGATCGAAGTGTTAACTTGGCTAGCACTAACTCTAAGTATCATAGGAATTTAGCAATCTGGATGAGATTTGTCAGGGTTTTTCAAACCTGATGAACCGAAAGATTAGACTATCAAAATTTCGGGGTTTTTTAAGAAGCCACTAATTAGAAAAAAAAATGAACATGAAGCTGTCGCTCATCCAAGGGTAGCGTTGCATAGTCTACAAGCGAATTTCAAAGCAAATGTCTCGTAGTAACCAAAGCCATAAGATTTGGGAAATTCTGTGAATTTGAGTAGCGTCTGTCTAATTGATAGACTCTCAGAAATGATACTGACGACTCAACTTGGAAAACAGGTGAAAAGACAAACTTGTGTACGTGCTGACAGAATATAGTATTATCGTAAACGTCGTTGTGCAAGATGTGCTTCTTTTAAGGAATGACTTGTCTAAGTTCTTAGTTTGCCCATACGGAGTGAACGTGTCGACCGCGCACTTATCCTTTGTGTCCCATCACTCTTGATAAGTCGATAGCTGACGAGATTTCGGCTTGAGTACAAAGTTCACTGTGTACTCCACAATAATAGGTTATGGCTTATGAGGTTAGGAAGCGAGTGTTCGTTGAAGCTATTCGGTTATGGATATCTCCGAAGCATCGCTTACTCATAATCCGGGGCAGCACCAGATAGAGATGATGTGTTCGTTGACGAGGCTGCGAACCTTCATCGATCGAAGTTATTGAAAAATACTCGCTCAGTAAAATGAACTTGTTGAGCTAACCATACGGTTAACAATTCCCTAGTACTAGATGATGTTGTAGTTCTAGGCTATATTCAACTGAGATGGTGGAGATTTGTAGCTCAGGTGAATGATTTTGGTGTTGTGTTTTCTGAGTCAAAACAGAAGTTTGAGTCCTAGGTATAGTAGATCGTAAGTGCATTTTCGTTACGCAACACCCTAATGGAAAGTTCAAAGCTCAAGATAAACGCTGTTATTTCAAAGTAACATTTAGATCTGTGGTTTATGCTACTTATATCGACAGACATAAGTAGTATGTACCATCAATTGGAAAACCTGGCAGCAGAAGATCGAGTTGAAGAAAATAAAAAGGAATTATGGACTGGGAGAATCATACAGAATGTGAAAGACAAATGATGGAAATTTGCAAAAGAAGTATTCAGTCTATTGTTCTCAGTTTACAAAGATTCTGTACAATCAGTTGTTCCCATATGTGTTCTAGGTCACTACAGATCTAGCTTTAAGATAGAACAAGATTGTTAGTCACGGTTCGGATAGCTCAGTGGTAACGTCTCTGACTGTGAAGCTGGGTGACACGAGATCGAATCCGCCAGGGAGCACCAGTTCCCTCAAGATTACAGGTACACCTTGCTGACGAGTGCCAAGTAGCACGAAACCCGGGTCCAGGGTTTCCTGTTGACTACCTCCAACCAACATCTAATCTCAGAACAAGATTGTCTCATGAACACCTGATAAAAACCTTTCGCATGTTCGAATGGGGAGGTATTAGAAAGTGTGCAACCGAAGAGCATTAGTTCAAGCTGTAACACTTCAAAATGCATATTATTGAATCATAATGGTAAGTAGGTGGACATTGTACAATATTTTCATATGACTAGTTTTATTTGCATAGATTACAATTCAATTAGTAATTATCTAGATTTATCGCTTATGTCTAAGATTTGACGATTTTTTTTCTAATCCAAAGCAACTTTAATTACGGTGTCTACCTGTCACTAGTGAGACTGCTTCAATACCTATATTTCAATCTAGTGTTAACTCCGAATCAAATTTACTGTAACACAACAGTTCGAAATGTACAACAGAATCCCGATGTACCATTGACTGTGCGACAAAACCTACTATATTTGTATATCAGTGATGATACCAATAAGCGTCAATTTTACAAGCAAATTCTCAGGTGAAATAAATAAATTCATTTTGTCGAGCTCGATCTTATCAAGTGTTATCGTTTCAATTACTTCATGTAAAGAATGCCAAAACCATAGAATACGCTTCCCACCGAACGACTAAAATGCCAACGTACATTGAAAAATATCGTGTCTAAAAATAGTGCACTTTATTTTTGAGCTAAAGATTTATTTAACTTGTGGTAAAGTTCCCCAAATGATGAATAATTTGCCTCGCCCACCACAATCTAAAAATATCATTATCGAAATCAGATAAATGTTCTTTGAGTACCATTATTACACTGTGCCAAATAATTTCTCGAGTACTTTAAGCTATCAATATTTACGCTATGAAAAACCAAGAAGCCTCACTTTTCCTCACACTGCCAACGTCACAAAAACCTTCTTGCTCCTGAACTTTCTCCTTTTATCTGTCATTATACCGTATTAGTAACAATATCACCCACAATTTTTAATAAAACTTCCGTAAACAGTATTAAGGAATTAGATCTACGGACTATTAATACCGATCTACTGAAGCAACGCTTCAGACTATACATTGAAGATTACAACGTCCGAAAACATTATTAAACCAAATACAGCACGAGTTTTCAACCGAGAATTTGCTATCTTGAGAGACGAGTATATAAGCGAAACAGACCGATTGACGGAACTGTCTCTATTTTGTTACATGGATATGTTTTCTATAAGACAAAGAAAAAAGTTTAGGCGTAGCTATTCACTGCAATCACTTTAAATCTACTTGATTATAGAAATAGGTATGTTAAATAAGCATAGCTTCAAATATAGCCAGAAAGTTTTGGAGTTGAAGCCTGTCTACATTATGTTTGAATGGTCAGCGCATTTACTCGTTGCACCCCTAAAAGAACATTATTATTATTATTGAAAACATAGTAGAAAATAATTCTAAGTATATATTTCCCAACCGTAGGTGCTACCTTAACTTGGTGGTCGGGCTTGCTTATCCTGATGACTCAACCGAGCTATATTGTCTGGAAAACATGTTCTTATAGGTCACACTATGTCAGTTGGAGAACAGTAAGACTAAAGGCAACAGCTTGAGACCCGAGGGCGAAGTCATACTGCTGACTGTACAGAGGTGTGACAGCAGTGAGGTGTCTTACTCGAACAATCAGTATTTGCAGCGATGCTGGTTTCTCACAACGGAAGGAAGGGGTTAGAAAAGGTCGGACCTAAAAACCTCACCTTACCCCATGAATTTCCGTCTCCGGTGGTAAGGCCTTTTGAAATGCGGAACTGACACATCGAAATCTTTGCATAAAAATCTCGTACTCACACGGCCTTAGGCTCTGTGGCAGCGCTTCCAGGTCGTTAATGACAATACTAATTTAGATTCTTCGTCGGGTCCACCCTCACGTCATTTTGTTGATGATCACCTCTCAGTAATTCTATCCCCTCGACTAACTCTCCTCATATAACTATTACCACACGCCAGCAATGCTAATAATTTGAGCTTACGAAATGTCATTCCTGGTCTCCTAAAACCACGCTCTAAACTCCATGTTGGAGCTTTAAATGTTCGAATCTTGTGTCAGATAGGGCAACAGGCTTCGTTCGCTCAGACCAAAGTCTCGCACCATCGATGTATGCTGCGTCTCCGAAACGCGCATACAGGATCTAAGTAGTCAGTAATACGACATCACCTTGTCAATATGAAGAACCACCACGATTTACCCTTCCAGTATCTAGAGACCCCAATAAAACTTCCTGCGACCTCGCTAGTATAGGTATAGTGTAGTGTCGGTTATTATATTAAGCCCATATACCTTATTCTAGCTTTCGGACATCCCATTCTATTCATTCTACTCGAGCCATACTTTGACCTTGTTATTTATTCGCTTATCAATCTAGACTGTTTTTATATGAGCGTATATGTGTGTGCCCTTCTTATCCTATTATTCACATGTCTGTAGCTTTATTTTGTCTGACTATAAATATTGAGTAACGCTTGACTAAAATGGAGTTGGCTTCCCAGCCATTTTCCCTGCGTGTCATTTTGCTTTGCTATGTTTCATTCGCTTCATATACAAAATATATGTATTCACAAATCAATTCTCGCTATTCGACTTATTTAATTCCGTTATTGACTAACGTGATTTAAGTCGACGACGATATACGAGAAAAGGCGATAGCATCGTCCGACGTGGTGACCCCAAAATCGACTCGAATAGATCACATTGCTATTACCACATTACCCATCGCTGGAAGGGCTCGATTGAAGACTATCACACACCCTGGACCACATGTTTAGACTCGGATCATACTCTAGTTCGAGCACGTATTTGTCTGAGTCTTATTGGAAGTAGAAAAGCTACAGCAAGAAAACCTCTTATAATCCAACCTAATGATGAAGAAGTTAAGAATATATTTCAGGGGCAACTAAAGGAATTAGTCAACCTTGGAAGTGATAGTGACCCTGAGGTAGCTTGGTATGATATCTAAAAAGCTGTGGGGACGGTAGTGATATCTATTAGTAGCTTAGTCCAAAAGGTTCAGGAAAATCAGTGGATTTAAGAGGTGGCTACAGCATTGATAGATGCTCGGAACCTCATCCCGTCTGGCTCCGGGCACGATGAGGGGCGGAAGAAGTTTAAAAGTAGGCTGATTAGAAGGCTACGTAGAGATGGGAAAAGTAGCAGCGATAGATAACAATGGACAACTGTTCAGACCTATCAAGGAAACGGGCATTAAAAATTTGGCTGTTAGTTAAAAGATCTCTGAAAAAGATGGAACTATTATTCACTCAGAGTCCAGGAAATTGAACCAATGAGCAGAGCAACCTAGGAGACAGTTCAACAGGCCTTCAGCCACACTTCACTTACTTACTATCCCCTAGTAACCTAAATAGGGAATTAATGCGTGTCCTCCAACTCTTAGTGAGGTTGGAATGGCTATAAGTAATCTAAAGCGAGGGAGAGCAGCAGGGTCTGATGAACTATCCCCTGGAATTTTTAAGGATAGTGGCTCAGTTTTCGCAGTTAGATTAACTGATACATTAGCTAAAATATGGGGATTGAACGTAATTCTGTCTGATTGGTCTCGATTACTTGTCATCCCAGTTTATAAGAACAAAACCTCTCTTGTGACAATCACAGAGGAATCAGTTTAGCTAATATACTGTCTAAAATATTAGCCTAAATAATACTTTAACGTCTAGCAAGAGCTCTTGATGAGCAAAGTCGAGAAAACCAGGCTGATTTCAAAGCTGGATGCGCATGTATAGACTGAATACTGGTACCTTGGGAGATTCTGGAACATAGACATACTTTTCGACGTCCTACTAAAGTTGTATTCCCTGACCTCAAAACGGCATTCGATTCCGTTGATCGTGAGGTCCTGCGGCAGTGTTCTATTAGAAGGAGTACCAAACAAGTATATTAACCTCGTACAAACTCTCTACTCGAACATTACTGGTCGAGTCAGAGCTTATGGTGAACTGTGATCGGAATCGGTTACTTCAAGTGGTGATTGTCAGAGTATTCCGCTTTCTCCATTTTTATTTGACTTTGTCATAGACATGCTTGTAGAGACAACGCTTTCGTTGTATGATTTCCCATAGATTGGTTTTCTACCAGAAGATTCACTTGTTGACTGTTAATCATTTATTATAGATTAGTATTAACAAACAAATACAACTACCAAAATATGTAAGCGCATGAAGCTTATGTCAAAACGGGTATACTCCGGTTATTCTCCCTAGTACACTACCAAGAATATTAAAAAAAACTAGGTTTGATTCATTATTTTTTATACCTGTTTTTCGTGCAAAACGTTTTATGCATGTAAGCCTGTGAACTTTGATTAAGTTACTACGTGGTTGATGAGAATGCATGTAAAAAGAAATCCGAATAGTCATAACGTGAATAAATTAAGTAATAACACTTTGTTGAAACGGAATAGCATGTACATAATCCCGTAGAAAACTAACTCGCTAAAAAAACGCTAACCAGAAAAAATTATTCAAGCAACGTATTTACCGAACATAAATTCTAAAATAAACAATTATTTATTTGCATCAACTGTGTACATACTCATGGACAGAAAAAAATCGAAAATTAGTGAAAACAGGAAAACTCGACTTGCTGTTTCGCTAAATATATATACACATTATCATAATTAAGGTGCTAGCCTGTCTTTTTCTTCTGTTTAGATAAACCAGGTTTCGAGAATATTTGCTTAAATCCTCCACCGTGAGTTGACTGGAACTTCATATTTTGTGGATTGGTTGTTGACCATGGTGAGTCGAATACAGTTGTATCTTGATCAACCAAATGTGTATACTTAGTCCGACCAGCGCGACCAAAGTTCTTAACCTAAGTATTAAACATAACATTACATTTAAAACGCATTTAATTTTCTATATCGACAAGACAGATAGTATGATTTATCATCGAACTCAATGAAAGTACAAAAAGCTCGTTTCACGCCTTCTAATTTACCTGTAAGGATTGGCGTTTAGTGAGCTGAAGTATTACTATAGAACTGTCAATATGACAGGCATTTTGTGGCCGACACATCCAATTTATCAACCTTAACACTCTACCTTTTCATCCCAACTGTTTTTTAGTTATATTTCCATTGTTTATATTTAAGCTGCTTTTATTAATATGATTGTGTGCTAGGTCCTACGGTGTTCATAACTAACTCCATTTTTGGGAGGTGGGTATGGTATAAAGAGACAAGATATTCCCCTTACAGTGCTAAACCATATTCAAAAGGGCATTATGCACTAGCTTCTCGACTAAAGGTAAATTCGCAAGTTGGGTGTTATCATAACAGTTATAGCAAAGTTTGATGAATACTGAAATCACTAACTCTGAATCCGTTGTTATTCTAGTAATCAATCCACTAGCCTGATCAATGTTATTACTTTAAATACATTTGGTTTGATGAAACAAAATAAAAGAGAGGTTCGAATCATGATTTTATGGAATAAATATATCAACCGCATGATCAAATTTCGAGGGTCCCAAGCTAATTATTATGAGAATTAAATCGTTTTTCGTCTTGGTATGATATTAATTTGCCATCAACATATAGTAAACAGACACGTAGTGTACCAAGAATGGAATATATCCATGAATGATATTCGAGATGAACATTCTTGATTAAGAAAACCACGTTGAGAATCAAGAGATAGTTAGGCATCATTAAGAAACGTAGTCGTTTATCGTTAGGTAACTAAATACAATAAAATAAGTATGGACATTAGCTCAAAATAGATCTACATACGTAACTGCTACAGAAGATCTTGATTATTAATGTGACATTTCTCCTACATTTTAATTAATCTCATTGAACTTTTTTCTTCTCATCATGTCACATTTTAATATCGTTTAACTAACGAACCATAAAACGTTGTGCGTATCAAAGTATACCTCTTCTTTTCGAATAAAATGTTCGTCTGAAAATTAATCTACTCAAGACTGTTCATAATAATTCTATACTGCTTTGAATATTTCGTAGTAGAATTCAGTCCTAAACAGTCAAGGTAATAGCCTTCCAAAAAATAAGTATTCATGAAGACCAATTCTTTCGTCACTGACCTGCATAACAGTAGGCAACTTTGTTTTGTCAAAATGATCTTCCAGAGTAGGCTGTGTAAAGTCTTGTTGAAATACTTTGTCCTCCAACGAAGTAACATAGAAAGCTCCCCGATGAAAATACTTCTGCAAAAACTTGTATTTTCCTTTAGCTGTTTTGTTTGTGATAACTTTTGGATTTCTTATGAATTCTTCACGTCGTTGTTCGTCAGTCATATTACGTATTCGCTCAATCTAAAATGACGAAATAAGCTCTGTTTAGTTTGAAAACATTGTTTACGTCACTATAATAATCGAAGTTAATTTTACAAACCGTTTGAACCAACTTTCGTTAACCGAACATTGGAGAAAATAAGACAAATCATAAGCACTTTTATGTCATAAGATAAAATGTATTATGAGCATATATCATACTGTTTGAAAAAACGACTACTTGAGTTAAGCACTGAACAAACAAACAATCATCAAATATAAAAAAAGTTGCATGTTTTTATCGATATATTTGACTATAAAATAGAATCCCGTTCATTGTTGTTTGGTTACATCGTAATACACTGGTGACAAACATTTCACAAAATTCATACTCGCCAATATCAATTTCTGCACGGTTTAAAAAACATGTGTGATTAAGTGACTCTTACGTACATATAGGTCCATAAAAACTTAACGTGTCAGATAGTGAATACCGTTGTGGTTAGCCATATGAGACACTATTAATAAGATTCACATCATGGATAGAGGATTTAAAATAATTTACCATTTTATTCAGTGCCTTCTAATACTAATCGAACCAAATACACAAATAAAGAACTCTGGCATAAAATTGAGATGCATGTTAGTCAGATCGTTATGTATAGCAGAGAAAAACGAATAGCGGTAAAAATGTATACTTGAATGAAAGAATTTTCACCAAACTGCCTAGATCTTTCGTTTAAAGGTAATTGCAAACCAGAGAAATACGCACAAACAAATGAGACTAGCAATAATATGTGACTTGCATCAAAGTATAAGCAGTTCCAAATGTTAATGAAGCAAGTACACGCAAATTTACAAAAACAATTTCTAATTGTACTGTATGTATCTTAAAGATGTGGAACTGATAAAGGATTAAAGAGGAGAGTTAAAATCTTAGATCATAATCACCTGATCATCCACAAAAATAGGATGTATACGAATAAAATGTGAGAATTTCAGTTATATGAAGTCAGCAGCTGCTATGTTTGAAGCGGTTACGAGCCCCGCTAACTAGAGGAAGAATTTCAAGCTTAGAATAGGGGAAGTATATTCCGCAAACAGCCAGAAACGAGCGATAACAACAAACACAAATCAAAACTTATATATACAGCACAAAACCTTCTTGGGGAGAGTTACAAAATAGCATACTAAAGACACAACGGACAAATGGCATTTAAGATTCTCCCAAGTGGGAAATACAATATGAAGGTGAAAAGAGCGCTTTTGGCGCGAAAACAAAGAAATTCAAAAGTCCTAAATAAAATTACAAAATTAGCTCCTTTTCCAAGTGAGTTCTGGGGATCTAACGTCCCCAACAGCAGCCAAGCCTAAAGCTATATAGAGTGAGTTTTAGTGTGTGAATTATAAAAACACATCAGTAAATGTAAAAGATAAAGCCAGTCAGTCCAAAGCATAGTACATCCAGAAACAAATGTATATCGGCCATATCACAGAGCAGAGCTGGATAGCAAATGATTCAAAGTGTTAGAATCGATGATAGCAAAAAAGTAGTAAACATGAAGGATATGGTTAGAAAGGGGATGTATGAAATAATACTGACATTCAACATCAAAGGGAAGATAGGTAATGAAAACACCTGCATCACTGAGACCCAATCTAACCAACATTTTAATTGTATACGATGACGGTTAGGAAGTTAAATACTTACTTCAGCCTTTTCTTGTAGCGCTGCCTCCCGAATCTCACGTTCTCGTCGAATACGTTTTAGTTCCCTAACCTTCCATTTTTCATATTCTTCTTGTTCTGCTTGGGGATTGCCTTGACCTTCATCAGAATCTATTGCGTCAAGAGCGTCTTCAATTGCGTGAGCTTCTTCAGCTTCACGGCGTAGTTCTGTTTCTAGTAGCTAAATGGTCAATATCAGTAATAAAAACAACAAAAGATTAATATTTTTGTTTAAACCGTGAGAAATTAGAATAATGTAAAGTAAAATTCATAAACTGTTTTCCTTAATCCCTTGTTCATAAACTAAGCTTCGTTACGCCTACAAACGATACCATTTCCTCTAGTGATGGATACCATAAACGACCGTACTTCTTAAATTAATTTTAAAGTTACCAAACAGGTGTACATCGAATTTATTTGACAAGATACTACGGGACAATAATTTTCTATATCTTATTAGCAAAATTTATTTCTTCGTTGCCCACTATTTTCAAAAAGAACGATTTTAATGAACGAAATATAGACTATAATTCAGTCAGCTACAGCGTAAGACCAGGCACATATATGCATCGGTCCAAGTTGTCACACCTCATTACCATACCAAGATGAACACGGAATTCATAGTAGTTACTTCAATGGTAGTAATATATATATATATATCAACAAAGATTGCATAAAAGTGTATGATACAGGGAGAAAGAATTAGTTCGCAGAAAGGACATAGAGCAATTTTAATTTCAGTTTAAGGGAAGACAAAGAGTGTATAGTCCTACGTTATCGTGATCGATTCTGAGCCATGTCACCAAGAGTCTACAACCATTGGTTACGATAGTCACGCGGACCACAACCAAGTAGTCTGTATCCACCAACATGGCTCAGACTAGAAGTCAGGGACTTCAAGGACCGATGCCACGTTTTGGTTTGGCCGCCCCTAACTTTTTTCCAACCATCCCCAACACTAGTCAGCATTGCGTGTCGTGGTAATCGGTGTTCGGGCATACGTAACACGTGGCCCAACCATCTCAGTCGATGAAGATTCACAACCTCATCAACTGATTTACCATCATTTCCTAATACTCTGCGTCTAACCTCACTATTACTTACCCGGTGATCTCAGCAGACGCCAGCAATATTTCTGTGGTCAAATACTAGCAGCTTACGAGTATCTTCTACTCTTAATGGTCTCATTACGCAGCCTTAAAGCAGGACAGAATGAACTGCCGCGCAGTATACTTGTCCTTTTATTGATAGACGGATATCTCGCCTTCGCCATAGACCATAATTAGTTTAAACCGAGTAAACCATTAAAATATTTTGGTAGTCACATGCAGTCATAAATATATTCATTCCATCGCACACTTAATTATTTGTGAAGCGAGAAATTTTGAAAGAATTTGAGACCCGTCAAAACCTTCCTTACAAATAAATACTGTAAGATACATAGCGAAAATGGAGTACTTTGATACTTCCTATAAGGGGTCAAAAGTAGAAAAGTTTATACTTAGATTCACAACTCAGTTCTCCTTGTGTTACGTACAGCTATTTTAAGTGTCCATAAATACCTCAGTAATAAAAACATGAAATTCTTTATGAGTCAAAGATACTATGTAAATAAAGTTTAAGGCATATTTAACATAAAATGAAAAAAGTATTAATCGAGTGATATCACCATTTTAGGATATAAACTACATTTAGAAATATAGAACAATGTACCCCAAACGGGTATTCACCGCCATATATACTAAAATCTAGTGAGTAAAATGTTTGAAACTGACATTAAAATGTATTTTAATATACCAAAAATCTTAAAACGAATGTATCTGGGAGGGTTTAAAAGTTAAACCAACCTTAAGTGTTGTTCTACGACGTTCTTCTGCAAGTCGTTTTACTTCTGCTTCGGTCTCCTGAGCAAGTTGGTCTGCCTTATGTTTAGCTTGTAAAGTTATTCGATCACGTGCACGTACGAAGACTGGTTTTAATTTAGGAGCTACTTCATCATCTGAACTTGTGTACTCCTCTTCCGAATAACCCAATTCATCCTCTGCTTCCACGTCTTCGTGGCCAGTGTCGTTATATCCATCCCCACAATGTTTGTCTACTTCAGCATTGATCTGAGCAGCCAATGCTTTCTTACGAATAAGCTACAGTAAAGGTAGACAAATTAAAAATAGGATTCAATTGTCCGCAAACAGTCGACTACTAATAATATCGGTTTTGTTTTTTAGACAATTGTGGTAGGTGAAAAGCAACCACCCGTGAAGTTACATCCAAGTTAGGAATGAATTGTAATGCTGAGTCATTATAGGTTGATATTATTAGTATTTAGTCAGCAGTACTATTCCGAATGATGTTTAGCTTCCACCCAAAACTAATAGTTTAGTTTATGTATTTGGGGGATTTTTACCAATACAGACTTTTTAGCTTCATTTTAGAGGCTCGTATTAAAGATACCAGTGAAATGCTGTGGTCCATTCTCTGTTCATTGATTTGTTTGGTGCAAAATATTCTTTCTTTAATTTGATACCTCGTACTTATTTTTCACATGATTTTTGAGAAATCTAAAACCAACCTACTTGTTTGCTCTAAAAATGCCAAGTTGAAGATAGCTTAAAATCGGTGGTGTGAATTAATTAGATTTGTGAACAGGAGTAAGAAGCAAATTAAAAGGCTTACTTCACGCCTCCTCATTAGTTCTGCTTCATCAACGTCCTCTTCGTCAGCATCCTCTCCATTAGAATTTTGAGGACTTTCCTCACTATAATGACCAGATTTTCGGTATTTTTTGTGACGAGTAACCCTATCAGTTTCTTCTTCATCCTCGCTGCTTTGGCTCAGTTGGTCCTAAAGAAGAAATTGACAAAAACCTTATAGGAAAACCATATAATAATTTGATGTAGATGGCATATCCATAGTACATTTAATAACGTAAAATTCTAGTACTTACTGCTCAGGGGTAAGCTCAGTTTCAGAAAAATGTGTTCCGAAATTATAGGGTTGTTAGTCAATATAAAAACGTTTATTCAAAGTAAGTAAAATAATATATTTGTAATATCCCAATGAGTAGAAAAGTAGACTTTCTGACTTCTCGTGACTCAGTGTAAGCCACTTCTTTAGAGAATAAATAACCAGATCAAAAAGATAGTTTAATTTGTATGTACGACAACAGTATGATATGTGAATAACATCAGGTATGGTAGCTTGGATAGACAGTGCAAGTCGGATGTATAGTTAGGCCTTCTTTTCTATTGAGAGCAGTAGGATCAAGCATCATATGAAAAACTTCAGTTACTCTCCTTTCTTTGTAGTTGAAAAAACTTTTTATAATACTTTTATGTTTTTGAAATCGATTTGGTGGTTGGTGAAGATGGCATGAACTGCTATCGCCAATTTAATTTGAAGTCTATGCAGTTCTACGGGATTATTAGGTGGTTCCTTTGTGTTCTTTGGCTCGAGTCAAGATTTCCCGAAATGACTCTCCAATATAGAAGTCATCACAATCGACACATGCAAATTTGTAGACACAGTTCTGTGTTGACATACACGGGAGTTTTTCTTTTAAGTGAACTAAAGTATTTCGAAGTGTTTTCGTTATTTTGTAATATACTTTAATTCTGTGTTGTTTTAAATTTTTTTAGAGTTTTTCTGTTGTACCATGGCGGTAATGGTAAAACTGCAGTACCAATCCATGGTATTTCATTCAAGTTATTATTTAGCAGTGGAACGTCTAATTTTAATGCAATTCTGATAATCTTCGCGGGAAAATTGTTAAATTGTAGGATGTTAATTACATTCTTTTTTTGTTTATCCTCTTCCGATGTGATAATCTTGTTCGCTCTTCTAAAACGACTTAGAGCCAGCAAGGTCTTTGCACTTAATGGATGTGCTGAATTGAAGAGAATATAAAGATTTGAGTGTGTTGGTTCTCGGTAGATGGATAGATTTAGAACTTCATTTACATTTCTTTCAACTAAGCACCATGTTCATCCTCATTCTCGTTCGTAAATTCAAAGTACTTAAAGCCTCCAACCACAATTACAATTATCAAAAATTAGGAGCCTTCTGAATATCAAACAACGATTCTGTACCACGGTTGATTTCTGGAGTCTAAATTGGTGAAGTGTCTAATATTATTCACATATAACCATTAGAAAATTTGGAAAATAAACAACAAGACTTGTTTTTGCTTTGGAACGTGACATTAAACGTTAGTAAATACGAAAACCACAGAAGGCAATGAGTACAATTCAGCCTTATAAACCGAAGTGCAGCAAAAGTGCATGTATGAAGAGAACTCAACAATCCTAAACATGTATTCATGTAGATAGATATCTACATTGTTAAACACATCACATTTATGCCTACTGACTGGTCCGATCCATTAAAGGACATTAAGCGAACAAATTCTGTTCATAAGCACCATCCCTTACCTTGGCCCTTAACAATCTCCTGAATCTAGGGTCAGCTAACTCTTCAGCTGTTGGTTGATCAGATCCGTCTGCTGTCGACTTGGAGTTCTCCTGCCCTCTGAAACGATCTCTGATTAATCCGGACCGCGATGAAAAAGCCTTGATTTCTTCGGTATCATTGACAGTTGGCTCCTCTTCTGATTCAGAACTAGAGCTTGAAGCAAAATCAGGTTTCTTTCCGGCAACATAGCGCTGGACCTTAACCTTTACCATATAAAATTGGCCTAAAAGTCAGTAATGTGATTCTACCAAACCTTTTTCATTTTTAATAGGTACTGCACCGGCAGTTGAATGAATCTGAGGTGCATTTTGCAAGCTTTGCATTATTAAGACACCATCAAATACACCGCGCGACCTCTCAAGGGCATGCAGGTAAGCATTCAGATACAGATTTGTGTAATAAGGTCAGAAGGCCTACGGCATATGTTATTCCCTTTCTAGTATGCTTCTCTGAGTGTCTAGTCTTCTCTTCAGTGAATTAGCTGGAGGTGGGTATACCTTTGCTCCGGGTAACAGTTTCCAAAAATTGATGACAGTGTGAAAACCTGTATGCCACATGTATTTTGTTTGTTCATGGCTTTTCTACTCGCCTGCTATGTCCTCTGAGATGTTTTGACATGGCATGGAGAGACAGAGAAGAAATATTTGGTCCAAATGATTTCTTAGTGTTCTATACATCAAAATCAAGATCAACCTCTTAATCTTCGTTATGACAGAGTAATTAAGTCTAGCTTTTCAAGCTGCTCTTTCTATGGTAAACCCCAGAGTTCTGGAATTGCATGGGCAGCTGTCCTCTGTATTCTTCCAGGATATGAGTCATCTTTTAGGCAGAATCTTACAACCCAATGGCAGTTTCCAAGTTAGGATCACACTGAGGTTGTGTATACTGCAGTAAACATGCTAGTATCTAACTTGATGAACGTCCGTTTTAAAGCCCATTGTGTTCTACACCGCTTATCTGTAACGTCCCGGCAGTGGGCCGTGGTCTTGTGGTCATGAAATGCCGTCACAACAAGATCCTTGTGATACCGGACCATGGGTACAGGCACTTCCCCTATTTTGTATCCCCAAATTGCACTCTGGCGCGATGAAACGCATCATCCAATTGAAAATGACACAGGTATTCGGAGTTTGACAATGCTTTAACCGGTAACACCTATTATGAAAGGTACCCACCAAGTGAAATCAAAAGACAGAAGCGAGGAGGTTCAAAAATATATTTGATAAGCTATCAATATATTGAGGATCGTCTGATCTAACCTGGCTAGCGATTGTAGGGGTTGTTGAGCACGTCGTTTCCACTCGTGATCTGGCGTGGATGCATGGCCGGGCGCCTTCAGCCAGGTGAGTCCATTAAAACATGTGGTCAGCATCCAATGTCAAAGAATTGCAGAGCTATTTAATTTGTGGATTTATTCACTGCTACAGATCACTTTCTCCTAGTGGGTAACGTTGACCCCAAGACGTGATCAGTCAGAAATTTAAACCCAAAGAGTTTGTTGTCGGGACGTATCAAGATGTCAGGAATTCGGGTTTTCCTGGAAAAAATGCGAATTTCTGACTGATGGTACTTTCACGTAATCAACGAAATATAAATTTTGTTCGTTTAAATTAGCCACTTTACAAACGCGATTATTGAAATGAAGTGTTAGCGCGTACCACAATTAATCGCGTTACTGGCTGTTATACGCGTATTCCCACAGGTTAGACATTTCCTTAGAAGTGTAGTATTTTTGTGTTGATTTGTCAGGTCTTTCGATCAGCGCCTGTGGTATTTACGCTCTTTATTTAATATGCTCTTTGCTATGCATTGTTTACAGAGAATTCTTTGTTCTTAACAAGGTTTGTAGTGAAATTGCAAATCTGAGTTTATGTAATCATATTAATAGCTTTCTGACGTTTATATAAATTGTAGAAAAACGAAAAAATACTTGCGAAAACTTCGTTTTGATGTGACGTTCTATGACCCCTTGAGTTTAGCTTTCGTTTTAGCCAGTAAGCTAGTCCATAGGTAATAAAATTTCTCTCAATTTATAATGTTACTGGTTTTGGCTTCCAATACTCACATCTATATCAGTTGGTCGCCGTATTATGGGAAATCTCTAAACTTTCTAGTGTAAGTTGTAATTAATTTTTGTTCCCATTAAACATAACACTGATTTAACTATTTAATTACTGTTTCGACAAAGCAGTCGTCAAATACCAAGAAAACACTGTGGCCATTCATTTGTGCGGCATTCATTCTGTCTCTTTGTCATGTTAAAACATTTGAATATATGCTGTTGCTGGTTGCCTACACTTCTTCAACACCTTAGAAACGAGTTACAAATAAATCCCTACATGTTTTAAAAGTTGCATCAACACTAACATAGAAGTATTTAGACTTTTGACCCCCAAAGTGTACTCCATGAATATAATTTGTGAGTTCTTAGTATCATTTAACAACAGGTAGCTCATATAGACCCGATTAGAAAAATTATCATTAAATTCAGTCCTCTAAACATCTGATTTTTGGAACACGATCGAAATTTTCACCATTTCCGAAATTCTGTGAGCTACTTAATCGATGAATCTTCTTTTCTGGTAAAACGACTTTGCGTCTCACTTGTGTTACTGCGATTACTGTAATTTATCTATCTCTAAAAGTTATCTTGTTTATTTATTCGAACACATTAACATTGGCACAAGGGGGAACCCAGTATATATTCGCCACACAATAACAATGAGGTTGTGAAGAGATAAAGAATGTAATGTGTGTATAATAACAGGACAAAAAAACAGAAATTAGTGTATGAGAGTGAAATGAAAATAATAATATTATTAATGATAGTAATAGTAATAATCGCCGTGCCCGAACACACGATGCCGAACGTTTGCCTTACTAACATGGTGTTGTCACTGGATGTTAGCGATTCTTCAGAGAACGACGACCAAATACGTATAGTTGTCTAACATCTTCAACGCGAAGAGGTTAGGTTTGACAAGCATAGAGCAAAACTGCTCTCACCGGCACGTTGTAGATTCGATCTTTTACAGTAAGATTAACACCACAAAGGCACCATAGATGGCATAGGTTGACATAAGCCGCTCAAGCTTTCACTATACGTGAACTGGTCTCATCGCTCACGATGTTACCATCACTAACGCAGCTACTCAGATACACGAACTTCTGGACTACTTCTATTCACACAATACTCAGGGTGAGTGCAGGATCAGGGTCCCGCCAGTCTTGTGAACGCACTTTGGACTTGTAAGGTGCAAAACACATTTCATATCTATGGACACTGATTACCAACTGATTAAGTACGGATTGTATGGCTTGGATATCATCATACAATAAGAAAATATCATCCACATACTCAAGGTCTAAACGTCTTTCGTCAGGCAACAGATCCACATCACCACTACCTATGTCCATCAGAGCTGTTTCCAGAATGTCGTCATGGATAGCAAAGTTGAAGAGGAATGGTGAAATGGAGCAACCCTACCTAACCCCACTGCTTGAATGGAACAATGGAGAGAGGTGGTTGTATGCCCTCACTCCACCTGAGGTGTTTGTATATAGGGCTTTCGAGACGTTGATAAGCTTCTCAGATACATCCTTCTTCAGTAGATAATCACAGAGAACAGTCCTGTCCAACGAATCAAAGACGCCCTAATGTCAAGAAACACTACGATTGTTGGCCTTTGATAAGTATGATGGTGTTCTAACATTTGATGGGGGGTGAAGATATGATCAATACATCCTCGACCATAACGAAAATCATTCTGCTTCTTACGAGCCAATCTTTTTCAGGTTTTGAACATTATATAAAGAATCGTGGAAGCTAATAGTTTGGACTCAATCGGAAGTAGACTTATCCTCCGTTAGTTGTTGCAGAAACGACGTGAATACTTTTTAAAAATAGTGACAACTATCGACTCTTTCTGATGTTGCAAAACTCTAAACGCCAAACCTTAAACAACGTTGTTAGTTCCTTAACTAGGAAGTCGCCACAATCTTTTAAAAGGGTCAAAGGTAAGTCATCCTGGCCTGGTGATTTGTGGTGCTTCAAGAGTTGAAGTTCCTTGCAGACTTCGGCCCCGTTTGGTAGATCAGTCATCATAGGCCAAGGAGGGTATAATAGTCTGATCGATATTACCAGGGCAGCAGACTAGTTAAACTGCTTCTCGTAAAACTCTGCTCATCGGCCAAGACGTGACCACAGAAACACCTGAGAGTATGAGATGACTTTCCTTGTTTGATCATCGTTCTCTGAAGAATTGCTGACACCTAGTGACAACATCATGTTAGTAAGGCAGAGGTTTGGCATCGTGTGTTCGGGCACGGCGACGATAATTCAGTTGGTGTCACCATCTTGAAACATCGACTTCGGTGGCCTGGATATGTCCTACGAATGTCGTCCCAGAGAATTCCACGTCGTGCATTATATGCCGACGCTGGGACCGGTTGGAAAGAGCAGAGGTGGTCAGCGTATGACATGGTGTCGTGGTATGGAAGGAAGCTATACAGAACTGGCTTCTGTTGGTCCTTCACGACTCCCTGGTTGGGGTCCTAGAGATGGTGAAACACTGACTTGAGACGTTATCAGACATGGTTCAGAATAGAAAGCAGTAGTGATCTTGCTGTAACTTTCTTTTACTTCATAAAAATGAACGTAACATTTTTAATTGAAAGAATTCTTCATGATTATACTTTTGCCAACTGCACTGTTTCTCCCATTATTATTATTGTTATTATTATTATTATTATTATTTTCATTTCACTCTCATACACTAATTTCTGTTTTTTGTCCCGTTATTATACACACATTACATTCTTTATCTCTTCACAACCTCATTGTTATTGTGTGGCGCATATATACTGGGTTCCCCCTTGTGCCAATGTTAGTATGTTCGAATAAATAAAAAAATGCATTCGATAGACCAACTGATTAGAGCAGTTGAAAGTAGTCGTTTTTGTTCAGTTAATAAATGATAGATTATATGGTTTAAAATGTTATAAAGAGTTCAGGTTTATTCCTTAACTATTAGTTGCTATGACAGCCAATTATATTCTATCTACCCCGTTTATACTATTTGGATTCGCTCGTTTATGTAGGGCTACAGCTGTTAATCCCTGTTTGTAAGAACTGAAACCTTTCTGGCGGATTATTGTCCCGTTGAAATCAACTGTACGATCTGACTCTGTCGAGTGTAGTGCTGTCGCTGACTTGTTTTTTAGTTTTTCAGGTCATCTGAGGGTCTAGGAGAGTGCTTTAAACAAAGTTTGTGTTCCTTCAACCTTACATTCAATTGTCGTGATGTTTCATCTACATTAATAGCATTACAATAATTAAATTTAGTTATTTAAATCCTCCCATTGACATTTTGAACTG